GGTGAAAAAGGTGAAGGGATTAAGGAAAAAAAACAGCAACTCATAGACACAGACAATAAACAATATGATGATTACAAGAGGGAAAGGGGAGTGGGAGGAGGTAGAAGGGGATAGTGATGGACGGAGACTTGACTTGGGGTGGTGAACACACGATACAATATACAGATGATGTATTATAGAATTGTACACCTCAACCTATATAATTAACCAATGTCACCCCAATAAATTTAATTTTTAAAATGTCTGCATGATTTCCAAAGCAGAGAGTCATCCCTTCTAACTGAAAAAGACCATCCAGCATTTCAAAATAACATGGTTCTTTTTAAACTGACATGATAAGCAATATTCTTTAACATGTTCTTTTTATCCAACTTCTCTAGCTATCAGTTCTGTTACACTGAGACCAACTTGCTTTCCCTAAGTGGTGCCAAACAGACTACCAATCATTAAAACCAACATACCAGAAAATATTAAGTAGCAATAAAACAAAAGTTCCCAACTGGATGTGCCAGCATCCCTCATATTCATCTTTTAAATTAGGTGTTTCTAAGAACTACTGGATTAACATACAAAGTATATTGTATATTAATATGCAATAAGTCTTATTTAATGAAGTTTGGTATTCAAGTATCTTGTATTTTCCAATTAACTATCCAATCTGCAGGTATCTGTATGAATTCTTTGTTAGTTAACTACTAAGTGGGAGGCTGCTTTGATTCTTCCATGCAAAGTTGTGTTACAGTATTACTGACACATTTGTAAACTGGACAGAGTGGGAGTTGGACTTCTCTGAAGTTAGATCCACATATCCCCTTGGATGGGTCAGCCCACTGAATAGTCCTTGCACCATTTCTTCCCGTGGTTCCGACATTATAATCAAACTGGCATGGACCTGAGCACCACCAAGGTCAGGTGGCAACAGCTCAACAAAGAAGATAGCCTCCCTCGTGGTAACTCCTGATGCGTCCCTTTTATTACAAGTTCAACATTCTGAAGAAACTAAATCTAACAGAAGATGCCTAAAAGACAAAACTACCGAGAAGCAAGAATAGGGTTTCACAACAAGCAACTTGACATATAAAGAAAAAATATGTAAATAGTGGCTCTGAAGGAGGGAAACAATCTGGAGGAAATCTTGCATCCCTGAAAGAAGAGTGTAGAGCGTTGTCTATTTAACATTTGTAAGCTATTTCTATTTATCTATCTGTGCATTTGATCAAGACATGTCTAATGAGATTAAAATGTCAACTACATGTACTCATTTCTCTTAGGTATCATACATATTAGAAATAATAGTAGGCAGCAAGGGCATAAACTATATGACTTTAAATAAACTATCTGCCAAATTATTCTGTAAGAGGATAATTTGTGCCAAAAATTTTTAAATAGTAATCTTAGCCTAGCTGGGTCAATGTTGAAACATTGATACTATAAAGGGATTGAAAGGTCAAGGGACTGATATTTTTCAGAATAGTGTTGAACTTACAAAATATGATTTTAATCATAAAATCTACTAACATCTCAAAGGTGAGAGTCACTTTCTCTACAACTAAGAGTTTGTGCTATTGCATCGGAAAAAGGAGGAATGTCTTTAAAATCAGATTAAAATCATAACCTCAAAAAATACATTCTCTTGGTTGAGTATACAAGGAGCTCTGGGGTGGGGATGGGAAGGAACAATGTTCAGATGGGCCAATGACCTTGATCATCTGCAGAACATGATGAAATGAAAGTTTATGGGCACGTAAAAGGAAAATAGGAAATCCCATCAATATATATTTGAGCCACAATTGACAAGGCAACTATGGTGACTGGGTGATCACATCAGTCAGCAAGTAAAAGCCAGAACTCCGGGCAGCGCAGCAGCAGGAGGCCCTAAACAGAACTGCGGCAGGTGGGAGCGCCCCCACACTCAGCACCATTCCAACATGTGCCACCGGCCAGCTTCAAGGGCTCGCTCGCCCCTCGTGGCCAGCGGCTACCGTGCTGGACAGAGCCGACCGAAGGAGAAACAACAGTTTAGAGATCAGGAAGGAAGAGATAATTTCCCGAGGTCCACTCCAGGACCTATGAATCACAAAATCTTGGGCATCAAAATGATCTGGAATTCACCTTCCTACAGTTTGGACCCACCTGCAGAAGAGACAGAGAATCAATGGACTCTCTTTTCCTATGTGACTTAGGACCTGCTTGTATCCAGGAGAAGCACAGAAACATTAAAATACATGTCCATGAAAAGCTGATGTAGCTGATCTTCCACTAGTTGTCAAGCAGAAACTAGGCCTTCACTGTCACCATCCTACAAAGCATAACCTCTATTTGCATCTTAAATGTCAGAACTCGGGTCTTCCTTTTTTATTTAGGGGAAATTATACCAAGAACTACACAAAATGCACAGACTGCCAGACGCATGGCAGCCCAACCCTACCACACATGCCCCTCAAAACATTAGCTAGGACACTGTCACTTCTGTATTCATTCTACACAGAACACCGTGAGTCACAATATAACTCCAAAAAAATGCAATAGCGGCTCATGTCACAAGAAATGGTGTCACCGTGCTATCTTAAACAAGGCAGAAAACAAATTAATATTTGTACTGTTAGTGATATCACAGCACTTCAAAACCCACTGGATAGATTAGCCACATTACCACGCAACTATAAAAGACTAGGAGTAATAAAGACAAAATTAAAATATAAAGTGAAATTTTAAATAGATATGAATTACTTTCATATTTTTTCATAATGCAGAGTTAAAATAAAATAAAAATAACCACTATTTGCTTAAATGGTTTTCACTTTATACCAAAAAGAATTTTTTTACTGACTTTCATCCTGACCTGCAGATTCTCACAAAAACAATGTGGGTATTTATACTTTAAAAAAATAATGCTACTATAGCTCTTCTAAGGAATTTATAAACTTCCCCCCCCAGTTATATAAAAAATAATTGTTAAGCATATTTTCCACTACTAGATGTAATGACAGTTTATTTTATTTCCTCCCTTGTCTAGACCTGCAGTAGGTTACATAATTCACATTAATAAATAGCACATACTGAGATCTTCCATGGTACCACCTGAAGGGTGGTCCTCTGACTCGAATTGTGTGAATATCTTCCACTGGACATATATTCTCTACATTGGTCAAGAATTAATGCCTTCAAAGAAAATACAAGGCAAACACCTGCTGGGGACAGGCTCAGGTCGCAGGGAATAAGTAGCAAGGAATAAATTTATAATCTGGGCCAAAGGTGATGGAATTTCTATGCTTCTCTCCTTTTACATCAGAGACCACAGACTCAACCAACACCTCTGTGTTGATACTGTAATCCAGTGGGGAACCTTTTTCTGCCAAGGGCCATTTGGATATTTATAACATTATTTGAGGGCCATACAAAATTATTGACTTAAAAATTAGCCTACTGTATTAGTTCAAACATTTAATTAACTCATCCCTAATGTGATGGCTGGAACTGCTTCTCTTGGGTGAGGTCTTGGCAGGGCCAGAGCAAATTATTTGGAGGGCCATATACGCCCCCTGCATCAGTGCATAAAAACCGTAACTGTTACAACTCATGTTCACATGACCGCTCACAATTTAGGCAAAGCTGTGCACACGATCATGCGTTATCTGACTGGGCCCTCACAAGCACCAAGCTCTGTCTGGCTATCCCCATTGGGGAAACTGAGTACCAGAAGCGGGGAATGACTTGCTCATGTTGAGGAACTATTAACTAACAGAGATGGGCTCCCCACCCCAACCTGGGGCTGTTTCTGTTAAACTGCATAGGCTTCCACGACAGGTTAGTCTTCAAACTAGAGGCAGAAATAGGGCAACACCCTGATTCACTGATTCCCAATTTTTTTCCCTCACTCTGGATACAAATTGGTCCTTGGTCACAAAATATACATCTTTAAGGGCTGGGGGATACAGACAGTGATGACTGCAAAATAAAAACATACTCTAAATGGGAGTGATTCAGATTAAACATTTTAACATTGCTTGCTGAAAATAAATACCTAAAATACTAACAGTTATAAAACTGAAGGAGACCTTGATAACCATCTGTTCTTTTTTCCACTTCAGAGAGAGCAGGGGGCTCCACCACGGTAGTTGTGGTCCCTGCTAACCGGTAGCAGAGCCAGGGCCGCGCGGAGCTGGGCTCTCTTCCACTCAATGTCCTGATTAAAGAACTAAACACAGTCCAGATATTTACAAGGAACCATCACAGTGCTAGAGAGATTAGAAAATTAGATCTTACTTACTAACATCATGAGTGTAAAAATTATTACTATTTTACATATCACTTAAAGCAGCAGGAACTTTGCTTTGCTTCCCATAAGAAAAATAAGCAGTGTATATATTTCAGGCTCTCGTTGCTAGGGAAAATGTGTAAAATATACCATTTCTTCCCTTTAGATGCACACTTTTTAAAATTCTGTTATTATAATAGACTTAAGTACATTCAAAAACAGAATAGTCTCTCAAAAATGTCACCACTTTTAACTTACATGAAGAATAAAAAATAATAACAATATTTCACCATCTTTGCTAGATATGGGTCCTTTCAACCTATTAACTACATGATTCCATCCCTGTTCCCACCCACTGCCAGTGTTTTTCAGTCTTCAGGAGGTTATTAAGCTATTTTGAATGTAAGGGATTTTATTTCCCCTCTGAAATTTAAATATTAGGCAACAAAATAACTCTGAAGTTTGACTGACCAACAAATCTAAAAATGGCTCAACTTGTAAGCCCTTCGCTACTTAAACAATATTAACTTCCATATTATAAAAATAAATAATCTGATTAGACTTTGTTGTACCTGCGAGTCCTCTAAAAGACTTCTTCACTCTCCAATTTAAATCTAATATGTGATTCTTTTTGAAGAGGCAAAATATAAGAATTTTCTAGATAGTACTGAACATTATTCCATAGGGAAAAACCAAAAAAAATTCACGTAGAACAACAGTAAACCACACAGATGACAGAAAATATTGACAATAAAATTAATTTTTTGTCTCTCATTCACAAGATCACTTTTCCACTTTAATACAAGTCTAGTCTAAGCAGATGTTGGTGTAACTGGAGGGAAGGTTCATCCTTCGGGCTCTGATCAACGTGTAGGAGGCTTTCTCCAGAGGTGAAGAGCTGCCTGAATCCTGAAGTGTAGTCTAGACTCCATGGAGTAATCTTTGTAGTTGTTTCTAAAGACAAGAACAATAAAATCTTAATGCCCAAACTCCTGTAGCCCAGAGCACCACCACCACCCATTCCTCCCTCCCATCTTCACTCCTTATTTGCTTCCAAAAGTGGAGACTGTTAAAATGTAGATTACATCTTGTGAGGAGAGGGGGTGGCAATATTCTTTATTTCTAGAAGCTTCCTGGTGAGGATCTAGAAGTCATACTTTGAGGACCAAGGTTCCACTTAATTACCAAGCCATTAATGCACACAAGGGAGGTTCTGAGGAGGGTTTAACAGTTTTGTAAACTATTCTTAAACAGCTGACTTCCTTTTCTAAACTAGAAATGCCAAGGCAGCCTCATACTGACAAGGTGAAGACGGTCACTCACAGCCCCACCTCCCCCCACCCCAATTCCCCCAAATTATCTTGAAACTCCCATGAAACAACAACCACAACAAAGACAGCAGGATTACATGGTGATACCAAAATTTCTTACTCCGATTATCACAGGCAAATAGCAATGGTTTGGCCAATAATTATCGGGTGATGATGTCAGGAGGGGTCAGGTTATTAAAATCCACAGATTATTTAAAAACTTTACTTAGCTCATTCATGACTTCGCTTTGCTAGAATTGTTAAGAGTGATCAAATGGAATGGCTTCGACTTTGGGCTCCTGCTTTCACCCATTGCTTTGGCCCATGGGTGAGCTGTAACTTCTTTCTTTGCAGTGGCATTTCTTTCTTTCTATAGCCCTTCATTGTATACAGGTCTAAGTACTACTTACTGGTAACCCTGAAAAGGGTTATTATTCATAATAAGGGTTATTATTCATAAGCTAAATCAACATCTTACTAGAGTTTACCAAAGGATGCAATTGAGTATTTTCCTGTCTGGCCACAAACTTTGGCAGTTTTGCAAAGCTCCTCCTACACAAGGGAGGATGGGAGGGAGAAAACCGCAGACAATTGACAGTCTTGAAACTACTGGGAAGACTGTTTACGTTGGCATCGTCAGCATTGGCCCAAGTGCTGATCACTGCTGGTCTTGTCTTTCAGTAGTGAATTACTAGTCTTTTATTTTCAGCGTTAAAAATTTGCCTTATTGTGCATTGCTTAGGTAACACTAAATATGTCCAAAGAACAAATACTTGGAGCGACAGTTTTTACAGTCCCTCATTTTCCTTCAGCTACATTTGATGACACAAGTCAGTTGAAATCTGAGTCATTATCACTCTCAACAAATTACCTTTAAGAGTGATTTGTTCTCATATTCCCCCATTAACAAGAAGGAGGAAGGGGGGAGGG